TTTATTGTAACTTAAGTCTATATCTGCAACATTAACTGCATTTAACATCGAATGGTCATCGATTTTTACCAGTCGATTATGACTTAAATTTAACGAGACTAAATTCTCGCCAAGTTTTAAAGAAAACTCAGTTAAATTGTTACGACTGATAATTAAACGTTTCACATCTTTATTGATACTAACGTTTTCTAATTTATTAAAGCTTAAATCCAACTCATTCAAGATAAACTTGGAATACTTTGGCATCTCCACCTCAAAACGAACCATTTCGTTGTAACTTAACTTCAGGTTCTCTAAATGCATTTGACTTTCAAAAAGGTTTTTCGGAATATTCGATATCTTATTATGACTCAAATTGATATCAAACAAATCTAAAATAGGTTCAAACGCATCAGTTAAGTTACTTATTCGATTGAATGACAAATCTAATCCTTGCAAGCCATTTAAATATCGAAAGTCGTGTACGCTTATAGATGTTAAGTTGTTGCTGCTTAGATCTAAATACAGTAAATTTGGGAATGAATAGAAAAATGCTTCTGGAATAATACCGATGTCATTTTCTGAAATATCAAGTTTCTTAATTTCATTGTTACGCCAAGAAAAATCGTTTTTATATGTGGTAAAGTTTCCTGCTGTAATTTTCAGTTCCATCGGTGAATAGGATCGCAGAATGCGAATAGAATTAAATAATTTCTTTTGATCAGCTAAATCATATTTGGAACCAATGCACAAAAACTGTCGCAATTGTATATTTTCCTTTCTAAATATGGCACATGACAAACAATATTGTTGATTGGGTATGGAAGCTCTGTACGTTCGTAGAACAAATCCTTGTTCGGAACAACTTGAAATCCCTTTAGACGGTCTCAACATCAGAACAATCAAAACAACATTAACAAATACTCTGGCCATAATTTCCTAAAAACAACATTCACATAACATCTTTTAAAACTGTGACTATTAGAAACTGATCTACTTTTGATGGCAACTGCGTATCAAATTTGAATGTATCCAAACGAACTCCAGTTTAAAAACCTCATTAATATGAGGTTTGGTTAGTTTTCGGATTTATTAATTTTTATGAAAGTTGCAAAAACTTTAAAAAAATTTTCATGGAGTGAGGAACAATTCTTAAAGCCAGACAAGAAAAAAAACAAAGCGACAGGACACAACAGCTTTTTAAACTTTGATGTTAAATAACCAAAATAAGGTGTTAAGCGAAATATTACTTAGAATAATACAATTTTTTAAATAAGAAGACTAATTTTATTGCTTCTATAAAACGCTACATTATAAACAATATTACTTATTATAGCTTTACATCTGAGCCACATCTTATTTAATATAACATATAATATAAAAACATACATGAGTCCTAGCTAAAAGCAAACGTTACACAAATGTTTGTAATTCTATAAAATTTAATTTACAAAAAAACACATTCAGTAGCCAGGGTAAGCGAATGGCGTTATAAATTGCAATGAAGTATTAGCAGAAGCTGAATACAGCGTGTAAATCATTTCGAAGAAAGTAAAAAGATATAGCACAAACAGGGTGTTCCAGATAAAATGCTACATGAATTGTTACGGCCAATTTTTGGATTATTCAAAATATACATAACAATTCAAATTAATAACAAAAGTAAATGAAAACCTGTTGCTTATATGGACAACCATTGTTCCCAAAATAAATACAATAATAATGTAGCAATACCAATATGAACCTGAAAAAATGTTGTATATGAAAATGGGATTGAGAGCAGGTCCAGTTTTATTAGAGAATTTATACAAACAGCATCTGACGACCGAAAAAGTAATAATCTTGAAGTTCCAAAAGTTCTTCAGAAAAATCAGATTGAGGCCGATACGAATCCGCTAGGAATCAGCACCAATTACCAATGCGATGGTTTGGAATATTTTACGGAAGAACTTTTGAAGGCACTCTAAAAAATTGCTATTGAAGTTTGGACAAAATGCAGATTTTGTTTTCAGGTAGGAGTGTTGATTACAAATATAAGCGCAGATGGAAATTGAGAATGTCTAGTATTTTACGGACAGAGAAGCCCTATTTCTCTCCCAATAATGGAGTAAATACGGCTAATGACAAAACGAAACCGTTCGATGAGGAGTTACACGTAATTTCATTCAGGATATAAAATTGCTCAAGAAAATAGAATTTCAGATTGCATCTCCAACTGTTGTGGTGAATGATACTGGCAAATGTTGAAAGTTTACGCAATTTTATAAGAGACTCGAACCCGAACCAATGGGAAATATGTAGAATGGACCAGTTTTGCACATTTCCCAGGCAGTTGAGGATTTGTCCAGACATTTATTGTCCATTAACATCGCCTGAGCTTAAGCCAGCAAATGGATGTGGGATTATTTCAACAGAAACGGAGTTTTTAACACTAATTTGAAGAGTATTGGGGATAGTATGACGATGAATAAGAGATGCGTGAGAGAATGAAGTGACTCGTGGAAAAATAAAGCTCGCTTTAATAAAGGATTCAAACGACGGAAACGTGGTAAAAAATGTGTGGAATATTCCACAAAAATGTTCTGTCATTGCCGTTTTCGAAGAAGCAAGAATTATCAAGTTTCTTCCTTTGAATCCATGATATGATCACACCGCTACTAAATAAAGTTGGCTGGTCGAACAAGAAAAGTGGTCAAGATTCGACTACACATGAAAAGCTTATTTTGTACAGAACTCAAGTCCTAAAATGATTTTTGAAAAAAATACATTTCCGTTCAATAATATAATAACTGATATCAGGATAACATCAACAATTAATTAAAATTTAATTCAGAAACACTTTAGAATATTAATCACTAAAATCACTTATTTTAGCTGTTATGGCCGTGTGGAACACCATGTGTTTGTGTTACAAGATCTACGCATTCAATCAGGGATACACAAAAGCATTGATGTCTAAATAATACTTTGTTGTGCCAAACGCAAACGAATCATGCTTGAACCAAATTGAGTTCATCTCGAGGAGCATTTCGCCTCTTTCCTTTAATTTTGATGAATAAGATATATAGAAGTGCACCGAGAATGAATGATAATAACAAGTTCTGAACTACCATTCCCGAAACAGCATTTGTACCTTCACTGATTCTTTCCAATATTTCTTTAGATTCAGCTACTTGTTTATCAGATTGAACCGTTAATTTTGCAGTATTTGTTGCCAAACTAATTTCCGAGTCTGTGGTTTTTGGGCTTACTTTTGTCATATTTTTTGCGAGTCGCGACCACAATTCTGCCAGAATGTTGTCATCAGTTTCAGAGTTTGGATGAACGACTTTTTCCGAGTTCTGTTGATATGCAGCAATACTTTTAATCTGTTCTTCGAAATTTGCAAATCCTTCTTTAATAAATTTGTAATCTATTCTTTCATTATTCATTAGACCGCTATGCATGCTATTATTTAATTTTTCAAAATTAGCATTTGTTTTCCTGATATTTGCCAAAATATCATTAATTACTGTACTGATGTTCGTTTTAAATCTATCCATAGTGCTATTTATTTTTTGCAAATTACTTGAAGTGTGATTCAGTACGGTTTCCTCCAATCTTTTAAAATGTGGATCAATATTTTCGAGCACCTGAGTCAGTATATCAAGTGCAATAGTTTGGCTAATATCACTTTCAGATTCATTAAAGCGGCTGGTATTATTTCGGTATGTTTCAATGCATTTTACGCCTAAAATATTGCTGCTGTTATGAACATTTCCTTTAGTCACACCAATAGATCGTGATTTTAGCATATGCATAATATCTTTTAATTCTGAACATATCCACAGATTATTATCTAGATCAACCGATTTCAGCATAGCAAAATTGTAAAAAAAGGTCGCCCAATTATTGTATGATCCAAACGAGCTTCCAGCAAGTAAATTGTTGGAAATGTTGAGAGAGGATAATTTTTGCTGATTTCGAAAACTGCCTGTAGGTAGTCTCTGCACTTTATTGTAACTTAAGTCTATATCTGCAACATTAACTGCATTTAACATCGAATGGTCATCGATTTTTACCAGTCGATTATGACTTAAATTTAACGAGACGAAATTCTCGCCAAGGCTTAAGGAAAACTCAGTTAATTTGTTATAACTGATAATTAAACGTTTCACATCTTTATTGATACTAACGTTTTCTAATTTATTAAAGCTTAAATCCAGCTCATTCAAGATAAACTTGGAATACTTTGGCATCTCCATCTCAAAACGAACCATTTCGTTGTAACTTAAATTCAGATTCTCTAAATGCATATGACTTTGAAATAGATCTTTCGGAATATTCGATATTTTATTATGACTTAAGTCGATATCAAACAAATCGACAACATTCGCAAACGCATCAGATAAATGAGTTATTCTATTGAACGACAAATCTAAAACCTGTAAGTTTTCTAAATATATAAAATCACTTCGACTTATAGACGTAAGGTTGTTTTTGCTAATATCTAATGACCATACATGTGGAAATAAAAGGAAAAATGCTTCGGGAATAAATCCGATATTATTTTGCGAAATGTCAAGTATCCTTACGCTGCTGAATTGAAAATTATTCTCATTTGAATATCTCGTGAAGTTAGTTGCTTCAATTTTGAGCTCTTGTTCTTGTCCACCGTAAGCAACTGTTTCATACATTACATAAAAGATGTCATCGGAATAATTGGAGTCATCTGAACACAGCCACCGCGGAAACTCTTGAGTTCGGTAATCAAACTGTAGACATGATAAGCAATTCCTTTCGTTCGGAATAGGAATTCTGTAACTCCTATAAACGTTGTCTGTTTGTGTACAAGTTGACTTTCCTTCACATATTTTCAATGTCATTACAATCAGTAGAGCTCTGGAAAATGTATTTTTCATACTTTTCTGAAAATAATATTCATAAAACTTTTCTAAAAATTCTGTTGCGACTGTTTAATGATCTTTTGGCATTAGCTGTATTTCAAATTCCACCCTAACAAAATTTTCAAGTGTATTTTTACTTTGATCAGCACATAAAAGTCCTATATATTTATTTCCTCTTCCCTAACAGTATTTGTTAATCATTTGAATAGTTTAGACTTGGTGTTGATTCAGGTTTACTCTTGGTAAATTTAGGACTACATTTCATTTCATGTAGGAATATTATGCGAACTTCTATCGCGTCCTGAAGTTATCAAGATTAAACCTGAATCACGCTGTATTTTTATAGCATATTGGGGTATCGATAATTTACATCAGTGATTTCAAACTTGCAGAGTTATGGAATCGTATTACTAAATATTACCAACAAATTACACCATATGTACAGTGTCAACGATCGAGAATATTGTGAGAAGTTGTGCTTGCAAGAGGTGAATGGAGAACATTTTCAACATTTCCAACGTGAGTGAGAGTTTCAACAGCATAAATTCCAATTTAACCTTTATTTGATTAAATTTCTTCAAAATTTAATATTTCAACCCACGAGTCCATTACAAAAAACAACAACATTACAACGCATACCATTTAATGCCATTTACAAAGGAAAAAACCGATATAAATGTGTCCCTGAAAACTGAAAGCTTTTGTCGATTTTTAAGCAAAGCCGCAAAGCGAGTTTTTAAAAGCATAAGTGCACATCTTCCTCGACATATGATTATTTTTAACCAAAATCTCAACCATTAGCAAAGTTGATTCGGATATGAAAGCCAAGAGTATATTATTAGTTGTTTTTTAAACGGCGTTAAACAGATTTGAAAAGAAAAAAAAAGAAAAAAAAAAGAAATCAAGAGAATTTTCATATATTTTACACTTAAAAAATTCATGTTTCAATGCAAAAAATGCGATCGTCAAGTTCAATGTTTTGACGCTAATAAGGCGAGCTTTTCTTGTGATTCTGAGTCTAATTTCGTTTATGCAATCATACCAAAAGTAGATTCAGTGTCATTTTATTAATTTTTAGCTACTCTACCTTAAACTGATCAATTTTTTCTCTTTAATAGAGTTTCACACTGATATGACGTGTGATCGTGAGCATAGAATTTCGTGCCATCTGTAGCCAATTGTAATTCAGAGTGGAAACTTAAAATGGAAATTAGCACGTGAATAATGATTCACTTGCAGTTCACAAATCATAAGAAATAAAGATCTTTTTATAGAAATTTCCTCTATCAACAACTTTTCTTAATGGTGTTTTCGGCAAAAATGCGATTTTGCGAAAAATTTATGAATTTCAATGGATGAACAGTGGTGAAAAACCGTATTTTCTCTGAAAAGAGAGCGAAAATAGGAAAAGGTGGTCAAAACACCACTAAACAAACTTGCATGATTTTCAAATAACCGACTATGGGGGCCACAGATTTTAACAAGAAATTCAGTTACTCAACCAAAAGAGTTTTGATTCAGAGAATTTGTTTAAGTACAAAACATCTTTATACAGATTTACTTACATTTGCAGCTTCAAATTGTGCAATTCTACAAACAGGGTACTAAAATAGTACCATTCACTGGCTTCTATATATTCTAAATTTGTTAATCTTGAGCCTAATGTGTAGCTGACAAGTGTTGAACAAATACGGTATTTGGGTGGTCTGATTTCGTTTAAAATGGCTGGCTGTGCAAATTTTGTCGTTTAGCGATATCATCACATTTCTAAACGTATTTATCAAACATGAAAGTTACCGGGTGAAAACATTTAAATTTTTCATACATTTTTTCCTTCTAGAAGCTCCAAATGAGGATTTGCATAGCAATGGTCGAGTGGGAAAAACAATATATAGTTAACAAAATTCATTAGTATTAACTACTTACTACCATGTAATTTGTGCTAAAAAATGTGAACATTACTTTGACTAATTAGTTAATTAATCAATAAAATTTATTTTTTACGTTGAGCGGATTGCATGGTCATGTTTAAGTTAAAAATGCCTTGCACCGTTTTCTGCACAATTCAATTGTTAAAGGCAAAATAAAATAAAAAACACCGTAAATTAATTAACTTAATTGTTATTAAATTGTTGCTTGTTATGGACGATCAGATTTTAAGCTTAATTTGATATGTAAGTAGGCATACGTTTTCAAATAAAAAGTTCATGTTATTCATGGAGACAGCGACGGAAGTTCAAGAAAGCCAGTGCGGAAATAGCAGTAGAGGTTTCCTGCTAGAAGAATCCCTAATAAGAAAATATTTGTTAATGTGCATTTTCTACAGCTACTCCAAAACGTCCAGTGCAGCAAGAACTGAATGAAAAGGAAGTGATTCCTAAAATAATCGAAAATAGTCCCTCTACTGGGTTTGATCCTGTTCTTTCTGCAAGGGACGTTCTCCAGTAGCTTTAAGAAAATGCACTTAGGTAGGTAGATGAATACTTTATAATTAATAATTTTTTGAACAGGACGCATCCAATGGTTTCCCGTAGTGAAAACGTAGCCTCACCAATCAATAAATTAGTGTCTTCAACTATTTGAAGTGAGTTTTGGTTAAAAGTTAAAAGTGTGTAAGGCTTTTTTGACTGAAAATTGACTCAAAAATAATACCTTAATCTATGGACATCGAGTCACGACACGCCCTATCCATCCTTTCGAACAACTTGGCTAAAAATTTCCATATTTTCTGCCATTTATTGAGTTAAATTCCACAAGGCAGATCTGAAGGAAAATTGTATTTTGCACTCTTTATGGCGACCTTTTTGTAGGATTTAAACGCACATGTCTGTCGTGTTTTAATCGTAATAACATGCAAAAGGTAAGAAGGCCAACAAAGTAACATGCATATCCTTTAAAATCTAAATAATCGCAATAAATCGCATCTTGTTCATCAAATTGAATATGATTACTTAAATGATGAAAAATTGCGCTTAACACCTTTCTGTATCCAAATTCTGCCTTAAATTAGTCGCAATTACCTTAAGTTCGCGAACAACCTTCAACATCCTCATGTAGGGTCAAATTGCTGCATTTTGGGTCAAAAATCACGCAATTGATGGAGAAAACGTTCTAAATCCGCGACAAATTAAAAAAATCCCTTAGAAAATGGAAATATTCCAGAATTTTTCGACATCTGGTCGGAGTGAATCGCGCAAAGTATTCCCTATCCACTATTGAACATTCGACTAATTCGACTGAATGACATGAAGAATGAACCTGATAACTCGATAACCAATGCGAAAAAGCGGGTGAAATAAATACATTTTTTAATCAAACCAATTAACAATTTGTTAACTGTATGATTATTTACGAAATGGAAATAGCGAGCCGACACATTAAAATCGTCCTGAAAGCGGGATATCTTGGTGTCAGAATATTTAAAGACAAATAAACATTTTTTACTTATATACATTCAGAACCGTGTATTAAGTCAAGCTACTGGAAATCCAGCAAACGTAAACAGATCTTGTAATTTGTAATTTGAGACAGCTTTTAACAACTAAAATAAACACACCGGCTCCAATGTGAAGATTTCAGATGCGACTGGGGGTGCAACTTTGGTCATATGTAACCAGATGATCTATTAGTGATCACCTGATTTATAAAGCGACTGAAAGTTTTAGTGCATTTACTTACTACTCAAAAGTGGTCAAAAGTACTGTTTCACTATAGAAGCACTAGAAGGTAGTTAATAGTTTGATTGAAAGAAAATTCACCAAATATATTCAAAAGATTCACCTCAAAAGGCTAATTTTTCGTCAATATCTTTGCTTTATTTGTAGATATATTCCGATTTTCAATGATTATTCTACTTTCTCACCACTCTTTTCAAGAGCTTGTACATTTAATGCTAAGTTCCTTCAGTTTTTACTTAATTCAAACCATAACAGTTTACCATCAAAAGAAATTAAAAGAAGATCCTTTGCCGATCAAAGTAAAGGACATATTTTCTATGCAGATGCAATTCCAGAAGAATACTGACAAACTTTTTAGAATGCCAAGAAATGTATCTTGAATATTCTATTAATTGTTTCAAGCTTCAGTGAAATTCCCTTGGTTTGAACATATTTTTGGCGGATTTAGTAGATTGATTGATGAATAACGAATAATTTGAGGATGAATCTAGGCCT